AGGTGAGTGGATTGCCTGAGCCCGCGGGTTCAAGACCTGCCTAGGCAACTTGGCGAGACCTCATCTCTACAATAAATCAAAGCCAGGCGTGATAGTGTGCGCCTCCAGCTACTTGGAAGGCCGAGGCGGGAAGGATCACTGGAGCCCAGCAGGTCGAGGCTGCGGTGGCCGGGAGCGGCCACTGCACTCCAGTCTGGGCGACAGAGTGAGACTCCAACTCAAAAAAAAAAAGAAAATTTTTATTTCCACCTTCCAGACCCAGCAACTGGGTGCAATGGCTCATGCCTGTAATCCCAGCATTGTGAGAGGTTGAGTTCAGGGGTTCAAGACCAGTTCGGGCAACTTGGAGAGATCCCATCTCGACAATAAATCAAAAAATTAGCTGGACATGGTGGCGCGCACCTGTAGTTCCAGCTACTTGGAAGGCTGAGGTGGAAGGATCACCTGAGCCCAGCAGGTTGAGGCTGGGATGGTCTTGAGCATGCCACTGCACTCCAGCCTGGGCAACAGAGTAAGACTCCAACTCAAAAAAAAAAAGACTCCAAGCAAATAGGAAAACAAATACATTGTATTAATAGGTACATAATAAAAATAAAACACACCCCAAGCGCACAGGAAGAAGCTCCCATATCTTACACTTCTGAGTATCCCTCATCAACACATGCTTATGGAACAGCACTGATACTGAAGATTGTGCCAGTAAGAGACCTATGACCAATGTGCTCAACAAATTTCTGCTGAACAAGAGGATAAATTCTGCCTTTGTTCAACCTGGGCAACAAGGTGAGACCTCGTCTCTATAATAAAATAAAAAAACTAGCCGGGTATGGCAGCGCACACCTACAGTTCCAGCTACTTGGAAGGCTAAGACAGATCACCTGAGCCCAGCAGGTAGAGGCCGCAGTGGCAAGGAGCAAGCCACTGCCCTCCAGCCTGGGCAACAGAGTGAGACTCTTACTCAAAAAAAAAAAAAAAAAATTCTGCCTTTGTTTCTACTATGGTAAAGAACTATGGTACACTTTTTAGGGGCCAGAGGAAGCATAACACAATTCAGACTTGCAAATATGCTTGTGTTTGATTGTTCCTGAAGCAAAACAGAAGCACTAATGGCCTGGTAAAAGATGTCAGTTCTTTTTGCTAACTAGTAGTCAAATTGGCAATATAAAATGAAACTTTGCAAATTCAACCCATATAATTCCAGCTAGTTAAAATCAACCCAGGCCAGGTGTGGTGGTTCATACCTATAATCCCAGCACTTTGGGAAACTGAGGTGAGATGACTGCCTGAGTTCACTGGTTCGAGACCAGTCTGGGCAACCGGTGAGACCTCATCTTTATAACAAATTTAAAAATTAGCTGGGCACAGAGGCACCTGCCTGTAGTTTCAGCTACTTGGAAGGCTGAGGTGGAAGGATTACCTGAGCCCAGCAGGTCAAGGCTGCAGTGGTCATGAGCATGCCACTGCAATCTAGCCTGGGCAATAGAGTGAGACTCCAACTCAAAAAAAAAAAAAAGAAACAGAAAATTTAACTAAAACTTTGGAAGGCTAAGGTGGAAGGACTGCCTGAACCCAGCAGGTTGAGGCTGCGGTAGCTGTGGGCGTGCCACTGCACTCTAGCCTAGGTGACAGAGTAAGACACAACTCAAAAAAAAAAAAAATTAACCAAAACCAAACAAATTCTCAGAACAACAGGATAAAGATAGCTAAAATCTAAAAGCTATAACCAATCCTCTCTGACACAATATATCAGTCTCATTCCAAATAAATTTTAATGTGAGCAGCTGATATTATCAACTTCTCCTTACTTTCAACTATAACATCTTTTTTTTTTTTTTTTTTTTTTGAGTCAGGGTTTCACTCTGTTGCCCAGACTCTGTTGCCCTGGCATGACTATGCTCAGGTAATCCCTTCACCTCAGCCTCCCAAGTAGCTGGGACTCCGGGCACATACCACTACACAAGGCAAATTGTCTCACTATGTTGCTGGTGTCGAACTCCTGCGCAAGTCTCACTATGTTGACTAGGCTGGTCCCAAATTTCTGGGCTCAAACAATCCTCCCACTTCAGCCTCCCAAAGTGCTGGGATTACAGGTGTGAGCCACTGCATCTGGCCCAACTATAATATCTTAAAATCAAGTCACCCACACCCAACAGAAAAAGATTCTAAAATATGTATTTGTCCTATAAACAGCCCAAAGAGTTCTTAAAAGCATATATGTCAATGAGGAAAAAAAAAAAATATTCCTAGAAACACACTGTGCACATTAAAACAATCTTAAGTCTTTTTTTTTAAGTGAATTGGCCATTTACTATTTAGCACCACAATGATAAATTACCCAGTGATAATATTACAGTAATTATCCTTTAAAACAAGTGACTACTTAGTTTAGGCCAAACTAAATTATCAATTTAAACTTTTAAAGACATTAATTGAAAGCAGATATCCTAAGTGGACAGCGATTATAAAGAATTTCAAAGCTGAAATAGTGAACTTTTTTTACCTGATGATCTGCATGAATGTTATCCCCAGTAGGCCATCGATGTTTGCTATTATTATAGCCGCCTCCACCACTTCCTCCTCCCCCAAGCTGCTCACCATGCTGCCTCTGAAAGAAGTAGTCCACCATAGCGTCGTCCTGGGAGCGGCCTGCAACTCCTATGGATCCTGGGACAGGGCTGGAGTGTGTCCCAGCTGCAAGAGCCTGATTTGCAGCTGGTTGTGGCTGCGCTTGCGACCCTGTTCCAGATGTCAAAACAACAGGCATGTTGGGATTAGCTGGTTCTTGAGGGTGATGTTTCAGGTGGGGGCTGAAAGAGTCCTGCCAAAGCACTGCTTTTCTCTTCAAGACACATGCAACGCTCATTCCACCAACACCTAAGGACAAACAGGTTACCAATGTTTAATGTGTGCATCTTTTAAAACATAACTTAATATTGACTAAGATAAAAATATAAACTCCATGTCTTTCGCAACACAATCATATCTTTTTGCATACAATCGAGGCTGCGGTGAGCCATGATCGGTCCACTACACTCCAGCCTGGGCAAGAGAGTAAGACTGCGTCTCAAAAAAAGAAAAAGAAAAAAAAAGCCTCACTGTAAAAACCAGAAGCCTCAACACACTAATAGCATCACAAATACGCTACAGGCGTCACAAAAACACTGAAAGGCAATTAATTATTAGTATCCCTATTTTACAAATGAAAACACTAAGGTACAACCGGGCTCGGTGGTTCAGCCTGTAATCTCGCGCTTTGGAAAGCTGAGGTGAGTGGATTGCCTGAGCCAGCGGGTTCGAGACCCACCTAGGCAACTTGGCGAGACCTCATCTCTACAATAAATCAAAAAATTAGCCGGGCGTGGTAGCACGCGCCTGTAGTTGCAGCAACTTGGAAGGCTGAGGCGAAAGGATCGCCAGAGCCCAGCAGATTGAGGCTGCAGTGGCCGGGAGCGGCCACTGCACTCCAGTCTGGGCAATAGAGTGAGACTCCAACTCAAAAAAAAGAAAACATTAAGGTACAGAAAAGCTATGTGATGTGTCCAAGGCCATTCTGCTAGTGAGTAGCAGAAAAGAGGTTCAAACCTCAGTGTGTTTTGAACCCAAGCCTAGTTCTTTCTACCAACCCCTTGCAGGAATAACTCAACAATATCTCTCACTTGCATCCTCTGCTCTACTCTGGAAGACCAACAAAGAATCCCTGAAATGTTACTATGAATCATTACTCTTTAAATTCCTTAAAATCAAAACTACATTTTTACATAAGATAGACTACTTGTCAGCCTGTGGGAGCTGTAAAAAAAAAAATGCAAAAAAGTAAGTAAATCAGTTACCAATTAGGACACACCTGTCCACAGCTACTAGAGTCTAATTTCAAGGTTAGCAACCTAACAGTCCACAGCTTCAAATGCCATCTCTCTCCTCCTAAGCCCTATTTTGACATATCAAAAACAGATTTATGAGTAATCTACTATCTCTCTTTACTAAATGATTAAACCTTCTAATAAAGTAGCATTTGCTACTCACATTCATGTTTTGAAGTCAGAAGTAAGAAAATACAATGGAATTTGTAATTTGTTAAAAACCTGCTTTGGAGATACCTAGTGTAGGTTCAGTATTCCAATCCATCCAAGGTACTGGAGTAGTACTGTCTCAAGTAACAAAACCAGAAAGTCACAGCTATTTCACCATGGGTCTCCGCAAAGCACAAACCAGCCTAATGCTTTCCTGTTGGTTTTTAAAAGAATCCACTACCCACTTATTACCAATACTGGCCAGACCCATTTTCTTTTATAAGGCAATCTTAATCTAACAATATTTGTTCTAGAGCAGGCCTGGAGTTCCAAAAGTCAAGTTCTGCCACTATTTCCTCATCTAGAAAGTGAAAAAAATCCTTCCTCTAGGTCTCTTAACATTTGAGTTTTTTTACTCAAAATAAGACACGTAAAAGTTTTTGGTAAAGTCATCAGTACTGAAAAACTAGTTCCTACCAGTTAAGGCAATGGAGCTCCAGTCCCTAAAAGAATTCCTAAAACAGCAAATGCAAACTTTTCTGAAATAAAACACCTGTCGAAATAGTTATCTGGGGAAGTGGGAGGGGAATCAATGATAAGAAATTACCTAAGGAGTATAATGCACCTTATTCCAGGGATAGAAACACTAATAGCCCGGACTTCACCACAAAATTACGCTTGTACTCTAAAAATGTACACAAATTTTAAAAAAGAAATAGTTTCTCTAACAAGAAATTTCCATGTGAAAAAGTTTACCACTGAAACACACCAAAAACAACCTCTTTCTAAAAGGGGATGGGGGAGGGGAAGATAGCTATAAAAATGTTCAAACAAAACAATTGGCTTTTGTGAAGCTATCTGTATGCCCTGAGACTTCCTCCTTTACCTAATGAGGCAAGGCAGTTTCTCAAACAAGAGAAAACCTGGCAGAAGGGGTATTTTCAAAGTGAGCAAATACCTAAGCAATTAATATGTATCTTGGGTAGTTTTGTAATATTTTGGAACTACAGCACAAAAATTAAGAACACAGTCACCTAAATATCAGAAAACCCATAAGCTGTTGGTACCTTTTAGGGTACTTTTAAAGGTCACTAAAAAGTTGTATGTAATTTGAAAAGTGATTTTCTTTAAATGACACATTATAAAACAAGTATTTTACACCACTAGAATTAAGTGTTGATTCTAGCTATGCTTTAACAGCTTTCAAATATTTACAAAGTGTTTTTTTAATATCACTAACAAAGTTTAACTTGAACAAAGGAACACAATTTAGCCTATTTCCATGGTTCACCTTTTACTACAATGCTTAGTGGCTTAAAAGGTGTTTATTTTTACCACACTAAACAAACATTCTGTGGTCATAAATTTATTTTAAAGCAGTTCATCTCAAACCCAAAGTAAACAAATTCCAACTTCAAAAAGCTGTGGCCTTGGACAAAATGAATTCAATTGTAGCTAAGGCAAAAGACTAACTCAAAGTTCAGAATTTCGTTGAGTATTTCCAAAGAGTCCAGATAAAGAATCAACAGCCCCCGAGAGTGTTTTATAAAGTTAAAATTAGCAATGAGTCAAAATGTTTATTTTGCTTACGAAAACTGTATCGGAAGCCACATATCTTGGAAATGGCTTGGTAAGATTTTTTAAGTGGTTTCATGAAACAAACAAAATGTTGAACCTATTGTTTCAAAGTAACTGACTTTAAAACAGAACCCAGGAAGAGCCGCATAAAACCTTATTCTTCATAATCCCAGTAAAATAGGAAGTAAGCAAAATAATATCGAGAGCTAAGAACAGTGTTTTCTTAACTGAACAATTACAGGTAACAATCCTTCAAGTTACAGAAGGATAAAACCTCCTCTTGCAAAGTGTGAGATTTTTGGTTTTGTTTCTTTTCTTGGGGGGCAGACTACAGAGGGGGGGAAAGTTACAGTAGCGTATTCCGCACTTGACGTGGGAGTGGTACTGACAAGTGAAACAAATGACCTACGTTTACCAAGCCCGTTGGTAAGAACTAAAACTATCTTGTATTGTGTATCTAGACTTTCATACTAGCGAGGGGTAAGCCTCTCTTTAAGGGAGACACCTCAACACGGGGAGTCTGAAAAAGGAAGAAGCCACCAAAAACACAAGCTCTCACGGAAACAAAAGGCCACAGCACCCAGGAGCCTAAAAAGCATTCTGAAACTTCCTGATCGCCACTTCTCCACATTTAAGGCTCGCAAAGTTCCCCTACAATGGGTCTCGCCTGTGGACAAGGGCCTCGGCTGTTTCTAAAGCGACTTATTGTTCCTCCTTCTTCGACGCTGCCACGGAAGCTCAAGAAGTCGAAGAAATCCGGGGTGGCACAGAATTACACTTCATGGCCACATAGAAGACTCGGGGCTTCGCAAACCCATCAAAAAAAAGCAACCCGAATGGCAACACCAATCTTCGGGAGTTCCCAACAGGGCCCAGCAGAAATGTAGAGGCACATCTACGCCCCGGGCGCGGGCCTAAAACCCCCGGCATTTTCCTCGCTTCGACCCTGCTCCCCACCCCCTCCCTCCTTTGATAACAATAGGGGCCTTGCTGCTGACTCCAAAACATGTACGAGGAACAGCGAGTGAGAAGCCTTAGCCAGGCCCCGGCGGCTTTTCCAAAGCCCTTCTCACCCCCCCAACCGATCTCAAACACCAATACGAAGGGACAATCTGCTCGCTAGGGGTCTGGAGCAGCGTTTGGGGCCGGCGGGGTGCGGATACTCACGGGCGGAGCGGTAGGATGAAGATGGATTTCAGCCCCCCGATCTTCTCTCTCCGGCGCTCTCGCTCCCCCTTACCTTTCACTCCGACAACATGGCGGCCCACTGGGGACTGAGCTAGCGCGGTGCATCATGGGATAGGCTCTGGCCCGGGCTCCGGCGGTGGCAGCGGCATGTGCGGAGAAGGCTGGCGGCTCTGGAACAGGTTGCCTGGTTGCCATGCCAACCCAGGGCCTGCGTGAACTCGGGAAGCTCGCAGGCAATACAACCGCCGCGCGCGCGAGTGCCCGCCCGCCCGCCCGCTAGGCGAGCACGCGCCGCCGGAGCCAAAGGCGAGGTCCCGCCGGCCGGCACCTGGGTGCTCACGGTGAGCGCGGCGCCCGCCACGCACGGCCCGGAGCTGGGTACGCGGGGTGGGACCCGTGGAACTCACAGTGTCTCGGGCGCGGCGCTCCACGCCTTTGGCGCCCTCGCAAACTCAGTCTGGTCATCATAGCCCTCAGTGAGAATGGAGGGCGACCCGCACGGCCCTGGCCTCAGAAGTGCTAGGTTCAAAGCCTTGACCGCAACTTTCTAGCCCTGTAGCTTTATTTAACCTGCCCGCCTCCATGCCCCCATTTGTAAAAGGAGGAAAATGAAAACATCTACTTAACAAGGGCCATGTGGAATAATATAAGTGAAGTGCTTAGTTCAGTACCTGGGACTGTAAGCAGTACATCACATAATTTACGAGGTCAGGTGCAAAATGAAATACGCAGAGCCCTTGTTCAAAAAGTGTTGTAAATTTCAAGATGGTGAATGACAACAGAACATTAAACCAAGAACATGGAGGCGACCCGGTTTGTAAGCGCTGAACCCTTTTTTGTTTTGAGTCGGAGTCTCACTCTTGTTGCCCAGACTGGAGTGCAGTGGCACGCTCACAGCCACGGCAGCCTCGACCTGCTGGGCTCAGGTGATCCTTCCACCTCTGCCTTCCAAGTAGCTGGAGCTACAGACCGTGCCACCACACCCAGCTAATTTTTTCGATTTATTGTATAGACGAGGTCTCACCAAATTGCCCAGGCTGGTTTCGAACCCCTGGGCTCAGGCAATCCTCTTGCCTCAGCCTCCCAAGTGTTGGGATTACAGGTGTAAGCCACTGCACCCGGCAAGCACTGAATCTAAATGTTAGCTGTTGTCCTTTGGTCCACTTTTGAAAATGAAAGGAAATGTGGCCATTTGACGAAAGTGACTTTTCAGATCTCTAGTATTTGATCAGATGCAGTTATACTATCTAAAACTAAACTCAAGATGGATTGAAAACAGGAAAACCACAATACTACAAAAACAAAAAACAAAAGAAGTCTGGGCACAGTGACTCAAGCCTGTAATCCCAGCGCTTTGGGAGGCTGAGGCGAGAGGATTGCCTGAGTCCAGGGGTTCGAGACCAGCCTGGGCAACTTGATGAGATCTGGTCTCTACAATAAATAAATAAATAAAAATTAGGGCTGGACTTGGTGACTCAGTTTATAATCCCAGCACTTTGGGAGGCTGAGGCAAGTGGATTGCCTGAGCCCACGGGTTCAAGACCAGCCCGGGCAACTTGGCAAGACCTTGTCTCTACAATAAAATTAAAAATTAGCCGGGTACAGTGGCACGCGCCTGTAGTTCCAGATACTTGGAAGGCTGAGGCAGAAGGATGGCCAGAGCCCAGCAGGTCGAGGCTGTGGTGGCCATGAGCAGCGTGCCACTGCAATCCAGCCTGGGTGACAGAGTGAGACTGGGATTCATAAAAAAGAAGGAAAGAAAGAAAGCAATGTAAACATCCACACAGGAAGAGAGAGATCATCAACAAAGTATTTGAACAAATATTTGCAATATACATGGTAGGCAATTGGTTAATCATCCTGATAAACACAGAATTTCTCTAATCAACATAAAAAACCCCAAATAGACAAAGACATTACAACATGACATATGGCCAAAGGATAAAGAAAAGACAAATGGCATAGGGATAAGGAGCAGGAATGGGGAGGTACTGCTGCTAATAGATATGGGCTTTCTTTTGGGGGTGTTGAAAAAGTTCTAAAATAAGATGGTGATGATGGTTGCAAAACTCTGTGAATATACTAAAAACCACAAACTGTGCACTTAGAATGAGTGAATTTTATGGTATTGGAAATATATCTCAAAGTTGTAAAAGATGAGAAAAATAACCTATAAAAGAGATACAAAGCCGGGCTTGGTGGCTCAGCCCATAATCCCGCACCTTTGGGAGGCTGAGGTGAGTGGATTGCCCAAGCCTGTGGGTTCGAGACCCGCCTGGGCAGCAAGACCTCATCTCTACAATAAATCAAAAAATCAGCCAGGCGTGGTAGCGCATGCCTGTAATTCCGGCTACTCGGAAGGCTGAGGCGGAAGGATCGCTGGAGCCCAGCAGGTCGAGGCTGCGGTGGCCGAGAGCAGCCACTGCACTCCAGTCTGGGCGACAGAGTGAGACTCCAACTCAAAAAAAAAAAAAGAAAGAAAGAAACACAAGCTGGACACGGTGGTTCATGTCTATAATCCTAGCACTTTGGGAGGCTAAAGTGAGAGAATTGCCTGAGCCCACGTGTTCAAGACCAGCCTGGGCCACATGGTGAGTCCTCATCTCTATAATAAATCAAAAAATTTAGCTGGGCTTGATGGCTCTTGCCTTGTAGTTCCAGCTACTTGGAAGACTGAAGTGGAAGATCACCTGAGCCCAGCAGGTCAAGGCTGTGGTGGCCATGAGCATGTCACTGCACTCAAGCCTGGGTAATAGAGAGAGACTCTGACTCAAAAAAAGAAAAGAAAAGAAATACGTAACCGAGTGTGGTGACTCACATGTGTAATCTCAGTTTGGGAGGTGGAGGTGAGAGGATGTGAGACTCCAACTCAAAAAAAAAGGACAAACGATTTTGAAAAAAATTTTTTTTCAGCATAAATCTTTTCTGGTTGATACATTTTTTAATCCATTAAACACATTGGCCAATGTTAAAGTGATTGCCAACATTTTTGCTTTATTTGTTTTTTGGTTTTTGGGGGGTTTTTTTGAGTTAGAGTCTCACTCTGTCGCTCAGACTGGGGTGCAGTGGCTGCTCCCGGCCATCGCAGCCTCACCTGCTGGGCTCCGGCGAAGCTTCTGGCTCAGCCTTCTGAGTAGCTGAAACTACAGGTACTCGCTACCCAGGTCGGCTAATTTTTTTTATTTATTTATTTATTGTAGAGATGAGGTCTCGCCAAGTTGCCCAGGCGGAGCTCAAACCTGCGGGCTCAGGCAGTCCTCTCACCTCGGCCTCCCAAAGTGCTGGGATTACAGGCTGAGCCACCGAGCCTGGCC